TATTTGGTCCTAAAAGCCTTCTGAGGTCTCAACTCTTCTCACTATTTCTTAGTTGTTGGAATTGACAAAAAACCTCATAAGCAATTACTTACTTCACCTCTGCCTTGCATGAGGACTTCAGAGCTGTAAAACTACCCAGTGGTAGATGGAATTTGGTCCAGGATGTAAGAACAATAAATGACATAGTTGAACCTCTTACATATTATGTTCCTAACCTTTATATTATAATAGACAGAGTGCTAGTCAATAAGCCTTTTATTTTAAGGTCTATCTTTCCTCTGTAACTTGATTTGTGCCACTGTTAGAACCTCGACTTAGAATATTATTGCTTTTAATTTTCGACGCATATACTTTTAACTTGTTAGTTAAATTTGTGTCTTCTAGGCTACAACAGTTCCTTGATGCATCTTCAAGGATATGAACATGTACGGCTAGGCACAATTGATAACAGTGCATCTAAATTCCAAAATCAATCTCCATAATAGTCTACATGTTTCCAATTACCAAAGGGGCCCTTTAGAGTAGTGAGAGAAGATCTTCACCCTGAAACCTACAGCATCCCTTTTTAGCAGGAAGTAGCTAAGAGAATACTCTGTCCCCTTTTCCTTATGAATCAGGGTGAAATCTCTCTCAGGGAGGAGTGATAGGGAATGGCAAAGAATACACTGACAAAGGAGATTAATCAGAAATGGCTTTGACAAGCACTGTGGCAATGGGATAATTAAAACAGACTTTCAAGGACAGGGGCGTAGAGAAAATAGTGTAACAATGAATGAATGGAAATCCAAAATCTCTGTAATTGTTCATTAAAATTAAGAAAAATTTTTAAAAAGGGAAAAAACAGCATCATTTTCCAACAGAGTGAAAAGAAAACCTATTGACTGGAAAAATACATTTGGCAATACTATTTCAGACAAGGGTCTCCTATCAACAGTTTATAGAATCCTACAGGGTGTCCACAAGAGAAAGACTTAATTGTGATAACACAATTAGGAAATGGGTAAAAGAGATGGAAAGAATTTATACAGAGGAAGATATTCGTATGGCTAACAGACACACGAAGAAATGTTCAAAATCAGTGCCAATGAGAGAGATGCAAATCAAAACCACAATGAGTACAGTGGCAAAGTTTAACAAGGCAGCAAGTAATAAATGTTGGAGATGATGTGGCGAAATATGAACTCTTTTACATTGTTGATGGGATTGTTAAAAAGGTACAACCACTCTTGAAGGCAGTTTGGTGCTTCCTCAATAATACGAACATAAAAATTCCATATGAACCAGCTATTCCACTGCTTGGAACATACCCCAAGAAAATGAGAACTGAGGCTCAAATGGAGATTTGTACACTGTTTATAACAAGAACATGGAAACAGCCCAAAAATAATGCTACACAGCACTCAGGAGTAATGATTTTGTAAATTACTATCCAACTTGGGAGAGCCTGGAGAGTAGCATTATGCTAATTGAACTAACTCAATTCCATAAGGACAAATACTGTAAAAATCCTTTATTGTAGAATGAGTATGAGAATCGGGATGGGGTGGGGTGGGGAGAATGGAAGCAGAGGGGTGAGGATGGGCAGGGGAGGGGTCGTTAATCATAGGGTTGCACAATTTGATGGGTGGATAGAGGAGGGCTAGGTAAAGGAAATGGGGAAAATTCAGTGTTAAAAAACAATGTATATGAAATTTGTAAATAAAATAGTACAATTTAGAATTCTCCGTATCTTTACCAGTGTTTGCTGCTTTCCATTTGTCTGATAACAGGCATCTTGTTTTAACTTGTTGCTGTTGTTACCAGGTGCCATCAAGCTGAGTACAACTCAACAACTTTTATGAACAGCTGACCTGAACCATGCCCTATCCTGTGCCATCCTCATCCTCTCAGATACACTGGTGTCCACTGCTGAAGTCAGTCCATCTTGGTGCGGGTCTTCCTCTCCTTCCTTCACCCTGAATCTTTCCAAGCATGATATAGCTTTCTAAGAAATAGCCTAGCCATGCTACATGTTCAAATTATGAAAAACAAAGCTTCACCATCTTTGCCTCCAAGGAGCATACTGGCTGTACCTTCTCCAACACTTATCTATATGTTCTTTAAGCAGTCCGTGGGATATTCAGTCCTCTTTTCCAGTAAAACAACTCAAAGGCATAAATTCTTTTTCTGTCATCCTTATTAACTGTCCAGCTCTCTGACACTTAGCAATTGAGAATCTTCAAATTAACATCACTGCTCTTCAACATTTTTGGAGAGGTGGTGACAGCAGACTGGCCCTATGCAATATGCCTCCTGATTTCCTGACTGCTAGTACCAAGGGTGTTGATTGTTCATCCAAAAAAGATGAAATCACTGGCAGTTTCAAACCTTTCTCCATCTAGCCTAATGTTTACTGCTGGTGAGGACTTCCATTTTCTTGCTGTTGAGATGTAACCCATACCAAAGGTAGAATTTCTTGATCTGCTGCAGCGAGTGTTTCATACCCTCCTCACTTTCAGTAAGCAAAGTTGTATCATCTGCAGAACAGATAAGGCTTCCTCCAATCTTGACATCACAATCTTCACATAGAATCAAGCTATGTGTTCTTTATAAAGTCAAACTTTGTGAATTATTTGCTCAGCATACAAACTGA